TAATCAAGAAAAAGGTTGCTGAATAATTCAAAGACTGTTATACAACTAATAGAAAGAAGATTTAATGGCATTTTGGGAACATGGTAAGCATCAGATAAACAAAGGCCAATGGGAAGGGAGACAACATCCTGACCCACAATAGAAGACAAGGATCCATCAGCAAATTTAACCTTATTCTTACCAGATAAAACACAATAAGATGAAAAAAGTGAAGGAATACCAGTAATATTAGCTGCATTAGATCTCCTATTCTGCTACCCCTGAATCTTCTTAGGCTTACCATGTAAGTCCCAAGAAAACTCTTTTGTTGACTGGATCTCTTGCAATGATTGCACTTGTGGTGTAATCAGGAGGAAGAAACAGTTCTTCATCTCTTCTTCTCATGTAGTGTGGCAGATTTTATCTGGAAGTTCTTCTCTTTCCTGTTTGGAGAGAATGTATTTATCCCTTCAGTTCCAGCATAGATTTTCTCCAAATGGCCAAAAATCAGAGCAAGAAAGCTAAAATCCTATGGAGTTGCATCCCATTTGCAGTCTGCTGGTCCATTTGGAAAGAAAGAAACAGAAGAGTATTTGAGGACAAAAATAAAAGCATCGAGTGTTTGATAGCAGGAGCGGGTAGTCTGCTTTCAGCTTGGGTTCTCAGCCTTCCAGAGTTTGACCAAGTGAACGAATTTGATCTGTTAGAGAATTTCTGGGGCACTTTGGAGCTGAATCCTTGTAGTTTTGATTTTTTTTCAGTTTGATCTGATCTGTATTTGGTTTGTCAACTTGACAGCCATCATGTTAAGATGTACTGCTTTTTTAAATTTAATAAAATTTCCTCGTATCCTTCAAAAAAAAATATAGTTTGTGGCCCCTGAATCAATGATCCAAGGGGACTGAGAAGGGGAGGATGAAACATGGAGGGCATGGACTTGGTTACTTGAATTCACTACATAAGAAATGGAGGGAGTAATAGATGTTTCCTCCATTAGCCCAAGGATACACCCAAACTGCTCAATCTGATCACACAGTACTCAGAAGACCTTCCTTAGGTACAGATGCCACTAGCTGAACCGGAGAAGTGTTACCCTGAGTTGATAGTTTTTGGTCATCCTGGCTGGGGTGTGGAGGAAGCAATATTAGTTGCATTGGATCCCCTATTCTGCTACCCCTGAATCTTCTTAGGTCATGTAAGTCCCAACAAAACTCTTTTGTTGACTGGATCTCTTGCAATGATTGCACCATAACTTATCCTTGTTACCTCATCCCTTCTTCTGTACCTCACCTTTTTTATTTTCACCCTCAGACAATAAAGCAATCTGCTCCCCCTCAATGGGATTCATAGCTGCCCTCCTAGTTTCTTCATACTGAACTAGAGCAAAATATTCTTCAAGGTTCGAAAGCTCTTTACAACCTAAAATTTGAACCCCAATTGGTTCATACACTGGATTCAGACCTGCCAAGAAAGTAAACACCCTTTCTTGAGAGAATAACTTCCTATATGCTGATGCATCCTAATCACTCTTCCAAACAATAGTCTTGTAATGATCCAACTCCTTCCACATAGAACTAAGAGCTGAGTAATATGCTGCTAGGGACTTTTCACCTTGTTTTTAGGCTGATGACTCAACTTGAAGTTGGTAAATTTGAGCATACTGTTGTTGTTCTTAATAAGTTGACTTTGCTTGGTCTCATATCTCCTTGGCCACTTTACCCCGCATAAAGTTTTTCCTGAGAGCAGGCTAAATTGAAGATGTCAACCAAGACATAATCAGGTATTTCTCTTGTTTCCACTTATCATATTCAACCCCTTCATTTGTAGGCTTCGTAGTCTTCCCAGTTAGGTACCCTAGCTTTCCCCTTGCCCCAACAAACATCTTCACACCCTTAGACCACTCCAAGTAGTTCAATCCATCAAAAGGAACAAGAGACACTGGAAACCCTACGCTGTCCATTCCAGTTCCACATCAGACCCTCTAGAAGAGTTAGTAGCAGTACCCTCTGAAGACATTGCTGGAACACAATACTACTATGTGGACAGCAGCTTCAAGAAACAAGAAACAAGCCCTTCCATCCCACACTGCAACAGTTGATCCAAGAGGAAAAGACAGAAAGACAACACACTTACCAGTAAACTGCAACACCTACGTCATACCCATATTTTCACAGCAGTCTATTCCACAAACACAACCTAGCCAACCTTGCAAAACATCCCTTCAACTTTGAGTTTAGAGCCCAGAAAACAAACAGCAAACAGTTGGCAGGATTCCTTGTAAACTGAGATAAAAACAGGATACTTCCAACACCTTATCAAACCATAACAGACTTGCATCAGCCTCTCATACACAATTCAGATCAATCACGGTAAAAAATCTTCCTTTCAATGATCTGAAGAAGTCTCCTACATGCTGCAATCACTTGAGCAACAAAATAATTGGTCTTACAACCAAGAAATAAGGAGGGAATGGGAGCAGAAAGTGATCAGGTCAGTCCTCTATAGGCTTGGGCTGCTCCAAAATAAAGAGAAGTGCTCAGATGAGGGAAAAAGAAGGAAGAAGAAGAAAAATTAGGGTTTTCTATAACAGATCAATGCTCTGATACCATGTAATCTGTTAAGAAAGCCTTAATGGAGGAAAAGAGAAGAGAAGAGAGAAGCCAAACATAGAGAAAGGAATCTCATGGGCAAGTGGCAGCGCCCACTGTACTCTATCATATTATTAAATAAAATATTTACAGGGTAGTCCCTGAAGTAAAAGAAATTACAAGAAACCCCTGCATCTTTGACACATTTCAAAAACACCTCTCACAACAGTTATGATGTTTTCAAATTGATGGTTAGAATCTAGAAATTCTCATTGATAGTGCCTATGCAAATTAAAAACAATTCTGGATTTTCATTCCTCTCTAAGGGATGATGGGAAGCTCTGCTTCCATGAACTGTGGATTGGCCATTTTATTGATTATGTTACAAGTTGCAAGGCCAATTTGTGGGAAAGTGGAATTGCCCTCCCTGGTGTTGGAGCTCTCTCAACTCTTGCCCAACTATCAACTTGTTTTCTCAAATAAGCATTTACAGCTGTTATAACAACCATGTCAATAATGCACCCCAAGCAGGGCTAGACAAGTGTTGCCTGGGTATTGTAAGCAATAGTTGCCTAGGCTCTTAGCTGACAAGGTATCACAAGCAACTGCAATATGATAATTGTATGTGTACATTGTAGGGAATGGGTTTTCTAGTTGGTTCATTAAGTGAGTTTCCCCAGACAATCCAGGAAACCCCCACACAATAACTTAATTTGGGGCTCATAAGGAGTGTTGTGTTCCTACCACATCTTTTATCAATGGAATGTATTCTATAAAAAAAACATTTTTTATGTGGTCAATATAACACCCTTCCAGGCATTTTTGAAATAAACAACTGAAAAGTTTGGATGGCGACTCTCAGGCAAAACTCATACAGAAGGTGGAATATGGGGCTGAGGTGGAGCAGGGGAGTGTAACAATGTGCATGTGTTTGCGCGTCTCCTTATTTTGTTTATTATATAAAAAAATGAGCTTGTAATATTTTTTGGATTGGTAACCATAAATTTTATTCTTTATGAACTTGTTAAAAAAATTGGACTAGAAATAGATGTTCCAGGCACCACTATTTTAGTTTTAGGCTAGCCTCATTTACCTAAACCCAAATTCCAACCATGTAATGTTGTTGTTTATTTTGCAACAGACATTAGATCATTCTCATTTCCAACACAAATTTTCATAACTTCGTAATTCTTGAGCTATTTTCCCTGAGATTTCAATAATATTGTAGCAATTGGAAAAGATTACTTGGAGCTTGTTTATGTTTGTTATTTGTTCTTTTTACTTGCCATTTTGCCAAGTGTTGTATATTTTGTATTATATTACCACGGTTTGTAATATCACCAATATATTGGAAAATATCTAGGTGTGATATGAAACCATCCTGGAATAATTTTCCCCCCATCTTGCTGATATATCACTAAAATTTTGTTAAAACCATCTAAAATATTTTTTTATTAAAACTAAAAGAAAAAACAAAAAGGTATTGCAAACAGGAGCTAAATCAGCAACATGCATACATACCTTATATAATGATTAAAAGAGAGAAAAGAAAGGGGAGAGTAAGAGAGAGAAGAAGGGGGGGGGAGGGTTGTAGAATGCAAACTAACCTTTCGATCAAGGGACTCAATAATGGATTTTTGCCTTTGATGCATTTTTACTTGTATTAAAGTTGAAAATGCATGGAAAAAAGAGTTCTCAAGCCTTAATTTTATGGCTAACTCCATCCATCAGAGTATCTAAGCAATGTCAAGTCTGTTGGCATCTTATGATGTTGATATGGGTGGGTATGCTAAGCATGTTATTGGAGCATAATGTTTTTTCTTTCTTTCTTTCTTATATTTTTTGGTGTGCCTTGTTTCCTTACTATTATTCTCTCATATGTCATGTTATTGCTATGTGAAAGTGTAGAGGAGATGGGCCGAATGGCCCATAGGCTGTCTTTCTATGTTATGTTTATGTTTTCCTCTGTAATGGGCCTTATTCTAGGCTCATACTCTTATATACTCTGTTTTTGTAATTTCTTGCCCACCCAAGGGCCTCTCTGTAATAATTCAAAGATTAACTTAATAAAATGTTTTAGAGTGTTAGAGGGAGGTTCAGTTCGAACCTCTCACTCTCTAACTCTCATTGCTGCCAGCTCTCTCTCTCTCTCTCTCTCATCTTCTTAATCTTCTCTTGTTTGTTTTCTGGTTTTGCATCTAATCTCAAGCAGTTCTATACTTCAAGAGGGCTGTTTTCAACTGAAAGAAAAAAATCTCTTCTTTTTCAAATATGTACAGTTTTCATGTGTATAATTATCAAATGGATTGTGCAAATATTTAATGTTTGGGTGTGTCATGTAACCATCTAGGCATCTAATCAAAGGGACATACAGTTTCTTTAAGTTGCTTTGAAAAATTATGGTTATGAGTGTAAAGTAATTTTCTGCTGCAGGTTTTTACTGGGGCTAAGCCCTTGCTGGACAAGACACTGGGTGTCCTTGTAGAAGGCCTAATAGATACTTTCCTCAGCCTTTTCCATGAGAACAAATCAAAAGATCTCAAGTCATTGGATGCAAATGGTTTCTGTCAGCTTATGCTTGAGGTGAGTAATCCCCATTGTTGGAACATTCTTTTTTCCTCGGGAAAAAACACTTTACGGTTATGTTTGGGTTAGCAAGGAAATCGAAAAGATGGATGGAAAGGGCTTCATGTGTCTGCTACTTTCTGTCATCTGCTATTAGCTTAAAAAATTGAGCCATGTCAAATCAGGAGATTAGCAGATAATTTGCATGCTTTTAATTAATTTAGAATTTAGAAAAAAATCTTTGAGGGGCTAACCTTTCTGGAACCTGCCAAATTGTGAATTCAACTTGTGTTGCCACAACCCTCCCCCTCCCTAATGTAGGATGGGAAGGATATACATCTGTCCAAATTCGAATTCTAAGATCCAATTAAGGGTTACACACACACACACACACTTTTTTGGTAAAAAAGCTATATATACACACACTTAAGATTTATATTCTGTTAGTAAAATTAGCTTAAATGCATTTTTGCATTTTTACTAAAGAGTCATAGGTTCAAGTTTCGTACTAGACATTTTCAATTCATTTTGTTCTTTATATATAATATCAAGGACAATTTTAGCTCATTTTATTAATAATATATATTATATTTTGACCATTGTAATTTATTTTGTTAATGCTACTCAGTATCTTATTAAAATACAAATTCAATTTGTATCCAAATGTTAATGAATCAAATTCTGATCTAGGTATATCCAATTTGAACCAATCCATTTGCAGCCCTAGAAAAGTTCTACCATCTTCATGTGGTGAGAAGGGAACTAAGGATCTTAACTATGAAAGAGGTTTACATCTGAAATAGAGAAGATAAAGAGAACAAAGTGAAACAGATTGTATGTTTAGAAATAAAGAAAGAAAAAAACAGTGAGAAAAAGAAGATCACTCTCTTACCTGTAGGTAACTTAAAAAAAATCTTTAATTTTTTATCTAAATATCAAATAAGAGCAACTATTAATAGAGTTAACAGAAAGGTCTAGGATATTCTTTTACACACTTCAATTTAGAGTAAAAAATTGACCAGATACAACTCTTGATTGCTTTAGAACCAAAGCAAACTCATAACGTCATAGGTATACAGATACGGACTTGGACTCCTCAAACAACCCTAAATACCCTTTATTATAAACAAACCAAAGATAACTCCAAGACAAGAATATAAAAAATACTCAAATCCTGTAACCAACTGACACCTTATAAGTAAAATGGCTATAACTCATTTAATTTACAAGGTCTTGGTTTCATAGGAAAGATAAATTTATAACCCATCTACTGGCAACAAAATCGTGCAAAATTAACAAGTCCTTTGGAAAATAGACAAAAAGAGAAGTAATGTGATTCTAATTTCAACTTTTCAAATTCTAAGATAAGACTTTGAACTATTTTGACCCTTCAAGACAATAACCCTACTTAGAAGGTACTAATAAACTAAAAAATGACTTTTAGAAAAATCAAATTGATCAAATCTTGATCACCCATGTAGTTTCCACTGGATAAGGAATCAGGAGAAACTGATTTTTCCCCATGGATTTTTTTTCCTTGTTTGTGTCTGCATCCCCATCCCCCCGCCCGGGAAAAAAAAAAGAAGTTCAAACACCGCCTAAGTGAAACAAAACTGTTGATTCTGAAACTCAAAGTATGCTACTTGATATATTTAAAAGCATGTGCTAGTGTCATATCACAAAGTAACAAATGATATGTGTTTCTCTCTCTGAGTTTGGATATATCACTGTATTTAGAGCTGAAGAAAAATAACATTAAATTTGTTAATTTCTGAATCATCATCATATTGACAAAAGTATGGTGCTTATACCTTCTACAAAAGGCCAAAGGGGACTAAAGAATTGTAAGATCCTCAGGATGTTCCTTGCTGAAAATTCTTGAAAATGATATGAAGGCTGTATATTCCCAGAAAATTCAGATTCCTATTTTCTATCTAAAATGACTTAATATAGGTTATGATTGAGTTGCTTGGCTTGGCTATTTACTTTTTTCCTTGACACTATTTTTAACATGCATACATCTGCAGCTTGAATATTTTGAGACTGTATTGAACCAATATTTCTCAACGGGTGCACGAGAATCTTTGAAATCTTTACAAGGAGTCTTATTGGAGAAGGCTTCTGAAAGCATGACCGAGTCTTCTGAGGTTCCAGGGCATCTGCATAGGTCAACTCGTGGCAGTGAAGAAGCTATTGCTGATGATCGACAACAAGGAATGACTGTATCTGAAGATGACCTAATTGTAAGAAGTTTACTCATGAGTTGCTTTACTTGGGGCTTGCTAAATGATGTTGAATGATTGTATCAACATTGGAGCAGTGTTTTAAAAGGTGTGGGAGGTGTACGCCTACAGGTGCCCCCAAAATGCCCTGAGACATTGATACTTCTCTGGCGTATGCCTCAGGTGAAAGAGGCATAGACCTCATACGCCTTTTTCATAAGGCATGCCAGAGGCATACACTTCATGCGCCTCATGCACACCTCATACAAAAAGACAGAAAAAAGAAAGGAAAGAAAAGGGAAGGGAAAGAAAAAGAAAGAGAAGAAAAAAGGAGAAAAGACAAGGGAATGGGAGGGAAGGAAAGAGAAGGGGAAAGAAAGTTTGGGCCAGGGGTAGAGCCCCCAGACCCCCTNCCTTATCCCTTTCAACTAGTATTATGCATCTTCACTCTTTTTAATATAAAAGATTTTTATTAAAAATAAAGAAAAAATAAATTCTCCTTCCTCTCAAGGAAGCTTGCGCCTCCTTGTGTTCAGATGGCTTACACCTCTTTCGTTTTGAACTATGCCTCATGGCTCTAGGTAGTGGAATGCCTCATGTCATGCCTCCGCATTTTAAAACATTGCATTGGAAAATGGGAATCAGTTTTTAGGTTTAATCAAAATGCAATGAAGTCAGTATATCCCACCAGTTAGAGAAGTTGCACTAGAGATCTTAAATGAGTCCAGTTTGATGAACTTTCATTTTGTTTCTTTTTCTTTTTAAACATTGTGAACTGATGGCTTTTGCAGATTATGTTTTACATATTTTTATTTTGGATATTAGAAGGTATAAATGGCTAGAACATTTAATCATTTAACTTTAGCCTAAAGAAATCTCCTTGGTGTAGCCTGCCACTTGGTAGAACCCCCTTTTGATGTTCTGCAAAGTCTTACCCAAGAAGTTGGGCTTTTTCTTTGTCCTTTTCCAATGTGCTAAATAAAATTGGCTTGTTTTTCTCTGCAGGCTCTTGCACAGCAGTGTAGCTCTGAGCTGCTTCAGGTGGAGCTGGAGAGGACTCGAATCAACACTGCATGCTTTGCAGAGTCGATTCCTTTAGACTCTGTTCCGGAACCAGCAAAAATCGCTTATGCCTCATCCAGGGGGCCAATGGATTCTCCCAGCAGAAACTACAGAGGAACACAATCATTTGGATCCCCAGGGTACACACGCCAAAGATGCAGATGACATGGTGACATTGTATAGTTGCTTTCCTCTTTCTCCCCATCTTGGTAATGTAATTTGTTTGTTGTATTATTCATTAATTTTTCAATTCACCCCATTCCCATTCTTTTTCTGCCCTTTTTGCAATATTGATGCATAGAAGGGCATAGTTTTGACTTGAGTATCCATCTCCGAGTATACAAGTTCATATTGGCCTTTGATAATTTTATTGTTATATCTATCCCCTTTTTTCTATCCTATTTACATAGTTTTGTATCATATATAGACAGGCACAGGCCAATACACATTCAACAAAGTAAAATCAAACCAAATTGCAGACGTGTCAGATTAAATAGGAGCTTGGGACTGCTTTGTTTTCGGTTCACAGCCTTGCACAAAGAATGGAAGGCAACCCTGAAATTAACCTCAGTATCGGAACCCTCTCTGCTTCCCCCAAAGCAACAAGCATATGTGAGGGATAGCCTTCAATCCACCGTACTTTTCTGTAAAAAGGGAGAATGATGATTCATCCCAGGGTCAGAATTTGTAGGCTCAAAATACTGTTGGGGTAGGTGCCAGCTCGGAATTGATGCCAATTCACAGGCGGGCGTTGGTGCAGAGTGTGGATTGTTGACACTTTGAATTTTTGTAGCTCTGCAGTGGAAATCAGAAATCTGCATTGGGCCTGTCCATACTTTTCCGTAAAAATTAACCATAATTTTTCTCAAGCAGGACTCGTTGCTTAGTTGTTTGATGTTTGACTTTTGGGAGGAAGAGGTGGTGGTGGATGGAGTTGGGAGCATTGGGTAAGTAGTTGACTAGTTGTATCAATACCTAGGTGAAAATTTATTGAGTGTATGACAAAAAGAAAGAAAAAAAAAAAAAGACAATCTAGCCGTACGTTTGAAAAGTGATCTAAATAAGTTATGATGCTGATCTTTGTTTAAACATGCTAGTCATGTTGCATGTTGGAGAGAGAAAGAGAGAGAGAGAGAGAGAGAGATTCGATGACCATTTAGGTGAGTTGTCATCTCTTAGTTAAGAAATCAGAAAAGCATATAATGGTTACTTTGTACCTGATAGATTATAAAAGCTTTTTCAGGCACTATTTAGGTTTTAGGCCCTCTTCGTTTGAATAGTGATCTAAATAAGTTATGCTTATCTTTTTTTAAACATGCTAGCCATATTGCATGTTGTATAGAGAGAGAGAGATTCGATGACCATTTAGGTGAGTGTTATCATCTTTTAGTTAAGAAATCAGAAAAGCATATAAATAGTTACTTTGTACCTGATAGATTATAAAAGCTTTTTCTGGCACTATTTAGGTTTTAGGCCCTCTTCGTTTTTCAAGAACCTACTTTACCCATGTTTTTTTTTTTTTTTACCCTGATAAATGTATCTTATGGGCGTATTTTTTGACCATATTAATTTACCCTGATAGATCATCGGTTTTGTCCCCGAAATTATATGAATGTAATTAGTGATATCAATGGATTGCATTAAACAGTAAACCTACCTTGATATAAATGAGTCCAATCCGCAGGTTGGGTTGTGTTTAGGTCAGGTTTGGGATTTGCTAGTCCTGATCTGTAAGGCCATTGTACCGGCTGTTCTTATAATAGGTCGGTCTTCTTCCTCTTCTTTTCCTCTCTCTATCCATAATTCCATATTAATAAGGTTTGAAATTAAGTTTTCCTTTTCTTTAATTCAAACTTGAAACTACGTTTATGAGTTTATCATTAAACTATCATGAATTATGAATATGCAGCAGTTGAGAGATATTTACGGAGGATGTTGCAGGCAAATAGAGTAGGAATCTGATTTTAGTTAGGATTCCGGAAGATTTAATACGAAAGAATGACTGGCTTAGGGGCCATTGCTTGGTTCAGTGATTAAAATCTTAAGCTGATAAGTTTGAGGATGCGGCTTCGTCTGTGAATGGCTAATGTGTGCAAAAATGTTCATATTCATTCCACCCCTTCCAAGCCCAAGACCCCATAATATATCTCGGACAAAATTGCTGAGATGAGATAGGTTGAATTTCCTCAAAATTTAGCCAGTTGACTTAAAATTACTTGAGTAGAACAATCTTAATATCAATCAATTATCCAATTTTATTTTTTCCTTGAAAAGCCAATCAATTTTATTTAAAATTCAAATATTCTGCTCTTACTGTCCCTCAAAGCTTACTTTTGAGAATTTGATCATTTATTTTACTTTCTGTTAAATGAACTTAAAGACTTAAGACTTTGAGCATAGCCAACAAATAAAGCCCCTCTTTTGTAGAGATGTATTTAGCAAAAAAGAAAAGAAATGTTGAATTTTTTAAGAAATAATTACTGCAATTCATGATTTAAAGTATTGATACGCCTAATACACAGGAATAGGTGTATCAGGTGTTTTGATGCTTTATAATTTTTTTTGGTTTTTTTTCTCAAAAATGCTTTAGTGAATTGGTTTTAGGCTTGCTTACACCTTAAAAGTGCCCAAATTCTGAAACACCCCTTATTTGGGGTTTTGGGTAGTTATTGATACCATACGAGCATACGACTGATATTGGGGTACATATCAAAATTTTGAACCTTGCTGCAATTAATAACAAGTCAAATGAGAACTCCAGATTTTCTTTAAAAAAGATTGTACAGCTAGTGTGAATCTTGCTGCTTGTCTTGATGCATGTAAAATCCTCTTTATCCAATCAAGAGTGAACATAACGGTATTCCGTGCACATAAGGCTCACTTACATAATATACACATAGTGTTATATGTTCACCACTTCACCCTTGATTGGTTACAAAGCGTTTTCCACACAGCATAAGGAGCAACAGATTCATGATGCATGGTTTTAGCACGGGGCTAAAATCGTTATTCACTGGCTTAGATGTATTATTGTGGCCCCACTACAATGTTACATCTAATTCAAGGTTGGGTCGAACCAATGCATAGACTATATAAAAAAGCCTTGGTTTTAAGCAAGGTTTAGTTGATCCAAGGTTCAAAATATCGACATAGGACGTATCGGTACTTTTTTTAGGTTTTGCTTATGTTTTTTTTGAAACCGGTTCAAAAGGGTCGGTTTAAGGCCCAACTATCCTTTGAACCATGGTCTGACCCGATACAACCATAGGAGGGGCGTATCGGAAAGCCATCAGCACAATATGTATTAGGTCATATGGGCCAATACATATCAATACTTTGAACCTTGAGCTGAACACTTCGGCTGTTCAGCGGGATGTAGAACCAATTATAAGATTCCATGTCATTAATAAAATACATGGGACCTGCACCTTTCATAGTGGGGCCCATGAATTTATTACTGGCATGAAACTTCATCATTGGTTTTATATAGCCTACTGAACTGCCAAAGCGTTCAGCGAATCCGAATTTCTTGATTTTATAGTTTTAATGTGGAGCTAAGCCATGTCGTAGCAAAAGTGGTTTGACTGCTTAATGCCACCCAGGTGAAGAAACACAGAAAAATCACATAAAACTTTTAGAGTAAATTTTAAGTAGCCCAAGGACTGGTAAAGAACACCTGGCCCCTAACACTTTGTTTTGTGACAAACACCCCTTATACTTTTTAGATTCTAGCATTTTACCCCTGACAAGTAAAATTACTAAATTGACCATTCCAGATTCTATGAATTGATAACAACAAATACCAACATGGTGAAAGTTGAAAGTGTTCCTAACATGAACTTTATAGAAAGAAAGTTTGAGAGAAAACATGTAAGGGTTAGAATTCTAGAAAAACTAAGTTGAAGGGATAAAATGGTCTCATAAAATAAAATAAAGATACTTTAGAGTTTTAGAATGTTAAAGTGTTGGAATCCAAAAGTTCAGGGGGCGTTTATCGCAAAACAAAGTTTGGATAGCAAAATCAATGTCCCAAAATTTTGAAACGCCTGATACATGTTATGGATACGGGATACGGTGTGAAATCAGACAGCACGTCCTTTTTATACTGTACTGTGGGTGTATTGTGCCGATATGATAGAGTACCGGGCGATATGCTACGAAAAAGAAATCGGCTTGCTTTTAAATGAATTAAACTAGGTAATTAATTAGAAAGCATTAGTTACTATTAGTTTAGTAATTAATTATGTCCAATTAGTAATAACCCTAATTTAAGAAACTGATTTGATTTTAAATGAATTAAACCAGGTAATTAATTAGAAAGCATTAATTAGTCTTAATTTAGTAATTAACATTAATTAATTGTGTCGATTTAATAACACCCTAATTAAAGAAACTGGTTTGATTTTAAATGAATTAAACCAGGTAATTAATTAGAAAGCATTAATTAATATTAGTTTAGTAATTAACAGTAATTAATTATGTCGAATTAATAACAACCCTAATTAAAGAAACCAGTTTGAATTTAAATGATTTAAACTGGGTTTGCAACTCAATTAATGAATCAGTCCAAACCATTTTTAAAGCAGTCGAATTATAAGCAATTAATGACTTGACCCGATTATCCAAAAACCTTCACATTTTTTACTCGAAATTAAAATTGTTCGCTCGTTAGAGGAACGAACACAGAGGACATTGCTGATTACATCTACAGTCCAAATATTGGTGGTTTACCACCCATTTGGACATAAAATCATGTAAAACATATAAAAAACAAAATATATAATAAAAGGAAGAAGAAAAAAATCAAAGAAATATTATTTTTCAGTAATATGGAAATATTACTTTTGGCAGACATTATAGTAGAGCTGAAAAAAAAAATTAAACATCATGAAGTGATGTTTGGTGAAAAGCTCGAAAAGCTAAGAAAGCAACTTAAGCTAATTTTGGTAACTTCTTTGAAGTGACTCAATCAACGGGCCCTGACGGATTGAGTTTTCACCAAACATTATTTATATGGGCTCTCTAGATTTTTCAGTTTTCACCAAACTTAGGCTGTGTGTGAGAAAGAAATCAGGAAATATCTCTTTCAAATGCATCCCCAGCAAGCCCTAGGACCTGACGACTTTTCAAATTATTTTTTCCAAAACTATTGGAATATAGTTGGGGATGATATTATCCATGCTGTAAGAGAGTTCTTTCAATTTGGTCTCTTGAGTAGAGATTTGAATAAAACCTTTGTCACCCTAATTCTCAAATGCAAGAGACTAGAATTAGCCTTAGAGTTTAGGCTAATAAGTCTATGTAACACATTGCAAAACTTTTAGTCAATAGACTTAAGCCTATTCTAGAGAACATATCATATCCAACCAAAGTGTCTTATTGTCAGGTTGAACGGTCTTTG